AACACCAAAATGCAGTATCAAGGTACTACATCATTCAAAGCAATTCATGTACCACAAAAAGGAAACTAGCCAAATAAATCAAAGATATCACTAATTCAATAATGCAATATTTAGGTAATATTAAGTGCATAAAACTACACAAATTATTAAAAAACAGAAGATAAAAAATAAAAAATAAAAAATAAAAAAGAATTCTTAAGAAAACTACATAACAAATGTAAACATGCACAATAAAATGGGAAAAGGGGAAGAGAAAGGGAGTCTAAGGCATTAACAGAAGAAGCCATTACCCTAAGCCCCAAACTGAAAAACATAACCTCTCTTCACCCCATGAGAATAGAGCGACAAATTACTGCGCACACAGATAATTCAACACAACATTGTGTTCTTCAATGAGTAAGACATCACAGGTCATCAAACCAAAAATCCCCAAGAAGAGTGTCATAAATATACTTATAAAGCTATAAGAACAAGAAATCCCCAAAAATTCTTAATTAAAATGCCACAAATCTCATGATTTCTCCAAAACCAGCCCAAAATCATATAAATTGGTAAAAAAACCACCCATTAATAAACATCTCGAAAGTATGGGGAAAATACAGAGATTGAAGAACCAACAAAACCCTAGCAAGAGAAATAGGTTTATAGAAAAAAACCATACCTAGAGCTCTGATGTTAATGGCAGACGGGAGGTTGATATCTCGAAGAAACCCAGGATGGTATTCGAGTAACAAAAACTGAAATAAAAATAATCCACGTATTTTGGGTTATTCTGGTTTTGAGTCATTTTGGAGATATGGAAAAACTCTGTTTTGAGCCTTTTTATTGAGCCAAACTCTATTTTGAATCAAAATTGGGAAACTCATTTTGAGGTATACAAGGTTTCTAAACGACCCATAAGCACTTTAGCACAAGTCCAATTCATGCATTGCCCTAATTTTTGCCTCTATATTTTCAATATCTAAAGTTCCTCTCAAAAAAATTTAAAAATCAAAAAGTACTTTTTTTTAAAACAACGAACCTATGCCATCCATTTCATGAAATAGTAAGATCCCCAAAAACCGAACAAAATCTGATCCAAGAATTTTTTTATCAAAAACTTAGCTCAATCAAGGAATCTATGTTAGCTCTTTCTGCTCTCACTCCGGCCAAATACTCCCATGAATTGTAGTATGATGCAAGAGCCAGCTGACTCACAAACGGCCGTCACTATGATGGATGTTATACCAAGTGTACCTTCTATAAATGATATATAGACGATGCACCAAAAAAATAGCAAAAAGTTCTATTTTTAATTTATAAAATTTTAAATTCTTTTCATGTTTATAATCACTTTGTCTAGATGATGAATCTACAAAAAAAATAAAAAATAGAATAAAATCCATTTTTAAAATGGATTTTAGATGGTAGTGGCAAATATACGTATAAGTCAGGCTGACTCATAGAAACCCCATCCTAATTTTAATGCTCTCCTTGGAGAAAGACAGAGTTCCAATGCAATTAAATACGCGTTTCTGCGCATTGTTTCATGGATATCACAAGCGTCCTACCCTTTGAAGGATAGCCATACACCCGATGTAAAATGATTTTCAGATCTTGTCATGGCACACTGTCTATTTACTTCTTCAGATAAAAGCCAAGTTAGAAGTTGTTTTTTTGGATCCAAACTTTGGGGATGTAGCCTCTTGATCTTACTGCCCAACCTTAAAAAAGTTTAAAATTGCACTTTAAAGAAAAATGACTCAAGATTGAACAATTGAACAAATAAAGATCAAAGTGTTAAAAAACTTAAAATCTATTTTTTAAAAATATTCTTATATAGGTACCAAAATTTCTAATTAAAAAAATTTCCGAACCAGCTTTTTCAAGCTCGAGGGAGTGAATATACAGTTCGCTCATGCAATACGTGCCTGTACCAATATTAGCAAAAGCTCAGAGTAGTTCTACTTGGCCGAGTTACTTGAACTTGGCCCCTTGCCGAGCGCGAGTGGTTCCAAATTGGGTGTCCAACTCGAGGATATTAAAAAAATTAAAAATAAAGAATTTCTTTGAGATATGTTTTTTATTATTTTGACAAAATTGAAAAGTATTTGATTGAATATACTTCACATTTTTCTATCTTTTTTGGGATTATTGTGAAAATACCTCCAATCACAACTTGATTTTTTTAAATCTATTTTTTTACTATTTTTTTCATTTTGAAATGTTTTGGTTAATCTTACTTTAAAAAATATTTTTTTTTAATATTCTTTATAACTTTTATAATTTGTTAACCTTTTTTTTTTGTTGTTTCAATTCTCAGTACTAATCGGCCGAGTTACTCAGACTCAGTCCGAGTAATTGAGTCAGGTCAAGACCAATTACTCTGTCCGAGTCGCACTTTGTAACACTAGCTTGTACACTGACAAGACCCCCACATCACGTAAATCGTTGAAGAAATTGCCACGTAAGTGTACAAAACTCTTCCGATTTGTTTTTCGCTTTTCTTGCTTTTTAATGTAGGAAAATGGTTGAATAGTTTGTTTTTCGCTTTTCTTGCCTTTTACTGTAGGAAAATGGTTGAATAGCATTGCAGCTCTATCAAAATAAGTAAAGCCTCACCTCATAATTCATTGAAAATTGTAATTCAAGCATTGAAAAACCTTTATATTGATCATATCAGCTTGAACATTGTAGTTATGAAAAAAAATTAGTATTTTAAACTCTAAAAATATTGTGTTATGTAATAACTAGACTGTCCAGTTCACCCCAAAAATAAGTATTCATAGATCTGCATGATCGATATATTTTGTGAGGGTCAAATTTTATTGTCGTATTGGAAATTGATTTTAGAGCCAACATAAAAATTCCGTTGTTGAAAGTAGTTTTCCGATGAGGATTTGAGATAGAGCTTTATTTGTTTTCATAAAGGCTAGGCTTTATATTCATCCTTTACTTTTTAAAGAGAAAAATAAATTAATAACTTATGAGTCATCGAAAAGTCGATGGCTTTGGACCATCCAAGCTCAGTCAAGCTTTAAGAAAGATGGCCTCATTTACAAGTTATTCCAACGTCTCTCCCTTACACTGATAACGGGCCTGGCCCGAGCCAAACCAGGTCCCTTAAGGGCCAGGGCGTGCCGAAGGGCCCTGGCCGCCCTGTCCAAGTCCGGCCTAATTAGAAAAAAGGCGTTAAGAAACAAAGGGTGAGGTTAATATAAAGTGTCAACCCTGTTGAACTAAGTAAGGTGCACCTAAAAAATATGCCAAAATTGCTGATTCAATGCCGCAAAACCTTGTGATGTTATGAAAATATATTTTTGATAACTAATGATACGAAAATATATTGTTTCAAAATGGTGACGATCAAATAAATTTATAAATACCTGAAAATCTTGAAAATGGACAGCTCAGATAATTCGTTCAAAAATGAATTATTTTTAGGACTAAAAATCCCATTTTTTCATGTCTATAAATCACGAGGTCGAAATAATCGATTTCTACTCGGTTTTTAAGGTACACCTTACTCATACAGTAGAAGATTGATACTTTATATAAACTTTTTTTAAAAAAACATAAAAAAAGTACAGGTCAGAACTGTATTTATTGATTTTATTTTTTTTGTTCAAAACAAAAATACGGGTCCAACCCTTGACCTGGACGGAAAACCGGCCCATTGCCATTCCTTCTCGCAGCGGCACTCACAGTACAAGTTGGAAGCATCCTAGAAAACAAAATATACACAAAAGAATGTTACAAATTGAAGGGTCCACATCCCAGACAGATTGACTCCAACCCTATATACTAATTTTAATAATGTTCATCAATATGCTTAATATTGATCAATGTGTCAACAATTCATCCAAAAACAATTTGAATCAGCATAAGTAGAAGAAAACAATTTCGGTTACCTCTAAATTCCTACAAAACAAACAACCCAAAACAAATATAGAGTCCAAAAGATCTTAAATTTTTAACCACTAAAAGAGATTGATCATTAGCACTAATATGATGACAGGGTTGCATCATGGACATCACAACAAGCGTTACTCCATAAACAAACAACTTGAGTGTGCCCCATTAAGTTTTAACCCCTTCCATCTTTGTTTACATCCAACCCGGTCTCAAATTCGATTGGAAAAACCCTAAACTCATACAAACAACCATTATGTTAATAGCAATCACAATAACAATCAGAGTTAAGTGGATTAGGCCATGGCTTAAGCCATGAACCTCCAATTAGAACAGTCCCCCCTCTCTCTATCTCTCTCTCCCTAGCCTCCAATGCTGCCTGCAACTTTCTCTCTCTAACAATTAATTAGACTAATCCTCCAGGACATCAAGGTGAGTGTGGAAGCTTGCAAGTAAAAATCATTGCTTCCCACTCTCTCTCTCTTTCTCAAAAGAGTGAAGAAGTAGAAGAGACTTAGAGAGAGAAAGATCTCTCTCTCTTGCTCAAACGAGAGAAGTAGAAGAGATTTAGAGAGAGAAAGATCTCTCTCTCTTGCTCAAAAGAGTGAAGAAGGAGAAGAGATTTAGAGAGAGAAAATGTCTCAAGTAGAGGCAGTGAGAGAGTCCTTCTTGCCAAGAGTGTTCTTATTATTGTGCATCCACACTTTAAGAACATGCCTCTTCACTCCAACCTCCATGCAAAACTGTTGTAATGCAACATCATCCTGCTTCTGAATCCTCCACCCCAATTTATCAGCAAATGCCTGCATCTTCTCCTTCTGATCTTGTGTAAACTTTGTCCTATACCTCTTTGTTCCATTTTTAGTCCCTCCTCCTTGCCCAAAAACCGTAAATCCTTCATTGTCAATTGATCTAGTAAGTGGAGGAGGAAATTTCAATTTCTTGTCCCAAGTTGGGGCTGCATTGTGGAGGTAAGGGGAGGAGAAGGGAAGGGGAGTTACGGAAATTTCCTTGCGGTGGAAGTTGCGGTGGCAGCCACAGGCCGCGCATTTGAGGGCTTCAATGGAGCCTTCTTCCCCTGCCGCCATGAACTCGCCGCAGCCATCGTTGGCATGGCCACCGATTGCAGCTGCGTGGTTCTTGAGGCACTCGCGATAGCCGATGAGATAGGAGGGTTTGGAGAGGGGGGAGTCGAGGGGGTCGAGGACGCCACCGTTCTTCTCTGGCTTGGGGCCGCCCCCGGTGGAGGAGTTGCCTGGGCTGTTGTGACTGTAGGGAACCACGCTTAGGTCCATCATCACCCAAAACTTTTCTCTCTCTCCTCTAAACAAAGATCTCTCTCTATTTTGTTCCCTAAACCCTTCCCTATTTTCTCTCTCTAAACTATTTCTCTATTTTCTCTCTCTACAACTCTATCTCTCAATCTCTCTTTTGCTGCTTTTTTAGAGGAGACGTTAAGTTTTCATGGCTCTCTAAAGCAGAGCATAGGCGGGGTTGTCAAATGTGTCTTAGAGAGAGAAACAGCGACTGGTTTAGCCGGAAATTTGGTGTGCATAATTTGCAAGACAGACATATAGGGCCTGGTTTAAAAGGAAACTGGTGGGTGCATGTCTTCAACAGAGAGAAAGAGGTAGTGGGTTAAGGGGAAAATGGAGGAGATGATGTATGAAAAGGCCGACAAAAACTGGAGAAATTAGTATGGGGCGCCAGGATAAGAAGGAAGACAAACCCCTTCTAAATGGGTCCCGTGATACGCAAGCGACATTACCGTAAAGCCCACTATTTTAGCGCAACCCCAACTAATCTGTCAGTCCCTCCATTTTCTTCCCCAAACCCCTAGCCACGACGATGGGTGGCAATGGGCCAATGGACCCGGCCCGAACAGGTCAGCCTAGCCTAGCCTAAAATATAGTGGTGGCAATGGACCTGACCAAACCTGTAACCAACGGGTAGAACCGAGCTTGGATTTGGGAATGAGTCCTAATTTTGGACTTGAGTACTATTTGGGTTTGGGATTGGGTCCAACCAGACCCCGACCTCTACCTATTGTCATAAAGTGTACGATGACAATAATGTGCCTTTAAGTGCACGCTAGATGTTCATATTATCACAATATTAATAACATTTACAGTATTATTAGCAAAAAGAAAAAAAAATTGCTCATAGTCATAGGTTATATGATGGAAAAAAAAAAAAAAAATTCATAGTGATAAGGTGGCAATGGATCAGACCACATCTGAGATCTGACAGGTCCAAGTATGGGTCCAAATATTTTAACCCGAATGCTATTCGGGTTCAAATCCAAGTAACCGGCCCGACCTATTGCCACCCCTTCTAGAATATGAGAGCTGGCCACGAAATGTGTCTAAAGGAGGGGATGGGAGCGGCTGGGCAAGTGCATGGCCAGGCAACGTAGACCCGACTCTCTTTTTCTTTTCTTTGCTCCAATTTTAATTATGATTGGGGCTCAGCCCAGCCCTGTGCCATTTTGGCCTCGGGCTGCACCGGATCTGGGCCAACGTTATAGAGTGTAGGCTGGGCTATTGCTCGGCGGCCCGGATCAGGCGCTCCCGTTGCCAAGATCCATTTAACGCTAAGACAGCGACAACTCTGCCCTTCACGTGGCCTTTCCACGTGTCACCCAAGGCTTATCATTTACTCCCACGTGGCCCGACAGAGCTTGCCGATGCTCTTAAAGCCCCACGTGGCGCGCTTCTAGTGGCCGATGCGCTCGTGCTCGAGAACAGTCAAAGCGTGTGCAGTACACTGACCTTTGCGGGACCCTCCATGTGGGGGTTCGTGGGCCAGGAATTGGGGCCCTTTGATTGGATGATCGAACGGCTGAGAGCCGCGGGATTTGCTGACGCAGGGCCCGGTATGGGTTTTGCCGTGCACCAATAGGCGGCTGCCGTGTGCACACGTCATCCTCCCTGCGGGGCCCGCTAGATTCCCTCCTGAGAGCGTTGCTTCGAAGGTAAACAAAATCTAAATTCGTATTAATTAAGCGCCTAATCTCCAAGTTTTTATTTCCCTACTTTACAAGGCAGGACTTTTTCGTGCTTCTTTTTCTCCAAATAGGAAAAGTGAATATTTGGATTGAAATAATTTCTTACCGAAAAGAAAGAGAGGAGTAAATTTGAAAATTAAATGGGCTTTTATTTATAAATATTAAATAGAGGAGTAAATTTGAACTTAAATAGGGGAAATATACAAACCTTTCCCATTTATAAATATTAAATACAATTTGATGGTAAAAGAGAGAGTCGCACGCGCTAATGATTTGATTAGGGAAGGGATCATGGCGTGTGGTACCCACTTTGGAATTAGTTCCGATACGCTGACGTTATGGATAGTTCCACAAAGCTGAGCTCCTAATAATTGCCATAAATATGCGCTTTTAAATGGGGTGGGCCATATTATATAGTGATTTGTTTCAGAATTCGTTTCAGGGGTAGGAATGGAATTATATTTTCAAGCAATAACGGGAGTAACCTCACCGTAGGGTGGCAGTGGGTTGGGTGGCCTGACCTCGTCCGCCCAGCCGTAAAATACCAAGGCTCGGAGTAAAAAATGTGGCCCAAGAGTCGGGCCAGGGCACCAAGCCTTTCAGGCTGGGCTGGCTAAAGCACAACAGGGGTAGACCTTAATAGGCTAAGGTAGGGCTTGAGCTAGGGCCTCTTTAGCCTAGCTTGAGCAAGGCATGGATAGCTAGCCTTATAGGGATCAAAGCTGGATTAGGGCTTAGGACAAACCATCCCCGCCAGTCCGGCCACAGAAAAGTGATAGAAGAAAAAATTATATTTATTTTTAATTTTTAGAGTTTTTTAGTTTTTTAAAAATTTTGGACATTTTTTAGATATTTTCATCATTCAAAATCTCCATCACATAATAATTCACGATTATCAATAATGGGCAAAACAGTACGATCTTTCAACCCAAAAAAATCTCGAATACAATGTTTTTTTCACCACTGCGTCTGCATGTGGAGTCAAGTGATGATAATAGCGATTGGGGTTTTCGATTTGAAAAATAAGATTTTTTATTTTAACAATATATTTTAAACTAAAAATAAGTAGTATTTTTCGCTCTATCAACAGGTCTAGGTTGCCCGGTGTCCATGCATACTTCGAGAATAGGGAAGGGCCTTTTAGGATTTGTTGTTAAAGTGAAGGACATGTTGGAACTTGGTTTTTCTCTCTTATAGGTTTGGGAAAGAAGAGAAAACTGGGAAAAGATGCGTGGGCCAGGTACCGCGTGAGGAAGCACCCACCGACCAAGCATCAAAAGCAACGAGCGTGCGGCCAACCGAAAGAGAAGGAAATTAGGATTATGTATCGGATCCTCGCATCGCCCTTCATGAATGCCTTCTTTCGTTCCCTGCCCTTTTCATCCTTGGTTTTTCTTCCTTTTTCTCTCGCTGCGTTGCCATTGAAATTTTGCCAAAAAGTTTTATTCTCCGTAGCTCCATATAGCTCCATCCATTTTATTTTATTTTTTTTATTTTTATTTTTATTTTATTTTATTTTATTTTTTATTTTTAAGTTACGTTGGAATGGAACTTGAGACATTCGACTATAAAAACCTAACCTATATTGTCTTGATCCAAGCCTATTTCCTCCATCCACTTCGCCATGCAATATTGATTAATTTTTAGGATCCTCAAACCTGGGTATGTGACCTCTTTAACTCAAAACTAATGCTTGATTAGTCAAGTGAATCGGTTGGGACTCACACAGGTAACTTGGTCAGTTTAAGTATCCTCGAGTTGTGTGTCCAACTTGGAGATCTTTACAAAAAAAAAAAAAAAAAATTCAAAGGTAGTAAAAAACCAAAAAAGAAAAGAAACTTATTGGAAATATGATTTCTTATTTTTTTCTATTTGGTGAAGATTGGAAAGTGTTTTTGCTATGAATACTTATTTTTACATTTTATATTCTTTATGAATTTTTATAAAGATGGGCCGAGTTTTGGCCAAGGCCTTGGCCGAGCACCCGCCTCGAGTCGCTCTTGTCGACGCTGCTAATAACTAACCTTATAAAAGAAAAAAATTGAATCATGCTCTCTATGTATATGCAAAAGTTAGAGGAAATTTCTCAAAATAAAAGATATGTTATTTACAATTTTACACATTTGCGACTATTCCATTCATGACATCTGGTTTTTCATAGCCATTTTGAAATAACATAAAAACTGTAGGTAAAAATGTGAAATAGTTCTCATCTCTTGAGAATTTTGATAAATTTCCCAAAAATTTAATATCCCAAGATTGAGTAGAGACCATGCAATTTTGTGACGGTGAGACCCCAAATGTTCAAAAACTAAAATTCTAATATTATATTTTGGAAGTAATCATATTCTTTGGTGGTTCTGAAAATTTCATATTAAAAAAATTTGTCTAAAGTCGTCTTCCCGAGGTAGTTGGTGTACAGTAATACTCTGTAGGGAGTACGGCATACAAAAGAGAAAAACCTTTGATTTTAATAGTGCTTTCTTCCTCATCTCTTTCCCCACAAAGAGCCTGCCATGAACCCAAATTGGACATGAGGGACTCAAGAAAAGCTAAAATGTCTCATCAATAATAGTCAGTATTCACCTGGCCCACCAAAATCACATCATTTTAGATCCAAAATTTAAAACTTTACCACAATCATCAATCTAAAAAATAAAATTTCAAATTTAGAGGAATCATTTTAATCTTTACTTTTTGAAGTGTTCATTTAAGTTCTCTAGAAAATGATGCATCTGAAGTGTTAAGTTCCAATTCTTTTCATACTCTTATCCAAGATTTTCTTCAAATTTTAAATCCAAAATCCATGTGTAAGACGGATTTTTGGAAGGGCAAGCATATGCACACACCAAAACATTTTCCTGCAATATTCAGTGCCTTTTCCCCTCGCATGAACACTATTTTGCTCTAGTTATAAGTTATCGCCAATCAATCGTTCTATACATAAGGGGGCATGGGCATAAATTTCTTAAAAAAAACTAAAAAAACCAAGAAAATTATTCTATATATAAGGGGGCATGGGCATAAATTTCTTAAAAGAACTAAAAAACAAAGAAAATTATTCACGTTCTACAGGCCCTTGAGTGAAATAACGTCAAAAGATCAAATAGTGATCGTTCAAGGACTCAAAATTCAAGAATACTTTTTCTGATTGCAGAGCATGTTTGGTTCGTATGCACTTTTTTCGTGAAAACATTTTTACAAGAAAAAACTTTCCTATGTTGTTAGATATGGAAATGTTTTCACCCGAATTCATACACGAACGAAAAGCTTACTATAAAAATGGACCAATTGGTCTGAAAATTTTTCCATATCTCATCACAAAGGAGAATTCTTTGGTGTGAAAATTTTTTTATGAAAAATTTCGTTCAAACCAAACATACCCTAAATCTAATGTGAAAAATCGAAGCACCTCATTCGCTAGCGGGCCGCAAACGAGTAGTGGCATTTTTATTTATTTATTATTATTTTTATTTTTTATTTAAAAAAAAAAAATGAAGAGCGGTGTTATGCAGTGAGACTTTTAGGTCTATTTCTCCCAGGCTTACTCAGTCTCGGTAATAATGATGGCCCCGCTCATTGAGGACTTTTCCCTCTAGTGTGCGGTCCTTTTCATTGGAGTCGACAAATACCAAGTATGACAAACAACAAGTGTGCGGTCTTTTTACTTTGCATCATCTCGTAGAGATTGACTTTATTCATTTGGAAAGTGGGGCGGGGAGGGGGGGTGGTTATGAGAATAATACATAGGGTCCTATTGAGTGTTTAAAAAAGGGGATTGGTCAGGGAACCGGAACCGGCCATATGGAATCTCTAAAAAATTAGTTTGAATTGGCGACGTTGTTGATTTAGATGGACAGATTAGATTGAGAATTAGTCCAAAATAGTATAAAACAAAATTTAAAAATAAAAAGGAAAAAAAGTGAAAAATATGATTTGTGGGAGTCCGCAGATTTGGTTGGTTCAGATCACCTGGTTCCCTGACATTCTTGTCTGGTTCGTTGAAAGAATCGGGCGATTGTATAGGAACCAAACAATTCCTGGTTCCTACAAAGAACTGAGTACCAGTTCTCAATCTGGATTAGTGATTCCTGATTGAGAT